TGACAGTACATCCGTTTGGGACCACCGACAGTACAGGTGAATTCTAATCAGAGGTTATTAAAGTCGCAAGGAGTTGTTTCTATGTTAACGATGGCCTCTCCATGAAGCAACTGAACTCGTTGAGTATCTTACCCGTATGTTGGCCAATGGAAAATTTCATTTAACAAAATGGATCAGCAATCGAAGTGAGGTTATCGCGCATTTGCCAGACAGCGAATTGAAGGCCCCGGAATACGATATCAAACTGACGATAAGTGCATAGATAGTGCTTTTGGTTTGAACTGTGACGCCACCCAGGACCGCATAAACTTAAAGGTGGAGAGATTTGATAAAGTATTATCTAGAAGGGCCATACTCTCATTTGTCGCTTCCGTCTATGATCCTCTGGGCCTCATCGCACCATTACTGTAGCCAGCAAAGGTTTTATTGCAAAATTTCATCAGGAAGAAGTTGGGTTGGGATAAGCCTCTCCCTGCAGAGCAACGGACTTGGGACCAATGACTGTCGGGCACGCACGGAATTACAGTCTTTCCATTGAACGTTGCATTAATTCGTTAGGAAACAATGCATTTCAGTAGTTACACTGCTATTCCAATGCATGTGAAACCGATTACGGTGCTGATTTGTAATTGCGAAGCGAAGATGATGATTACTGGGAAGTCACGAGTCAGCCCATTTTTTACCCTGTCCATAAGAAGCCTAAGGATCAGCACTGCCGTACTCAACGTGCACCAAAGGTTTCCAAAGAAATGAGGATCCATTGCAGGACAACATTCTGGAGAGATCCGATGACGGTTCTTAAACTGCTTCAGGATGCCAACGGACGTTTTATAACTTATGTTGTTAACTGAATCAATAGTATATAACAGCATTCCCATCCGAGTGGTGTTACGCAATTTTTGAGGAAAACCCGGTTGATAGCTTCACGAGGGCTTGCCATTTCATACCAGCGAGAATTAAACAGCTGGTTACACGGTCCGCAATCTCCTGTTCAGGCTGTATCCTCGTGGCCCATGCTTCCGGAAAACTTAGGTTGATTGTAGCCCGAAGGATTACGGCCTGAGATTTGTCATGTTTTCTTGATCAAAGTGGAAGAACACTGTACGAGTAAATTTAAAGATTGCGCAACCTAGACTTCAGTGCGTAAATGGCTCGTTACCCTGCTGCGCTTTAAGTATTATTTCAAAGCGAGCTTCCTGAAAAACACTACGTCCCAGCAATCCGGTACGAGAGAAAGCGCTGAAATCCATCAAGCCACGCTTCAGATTGATAGTGGTACAGGTGGATGTTTTCGCGAAAAAAGTGTCTACTTTCACATGACTAGTACGGAGTTTGAAACTAAAGTGATGCGGATTAACATGATTTATGCCTTTCATCTGTAACGGAATGATCTGAGTGGGTGGTGGCTTACGAAGAGAGGAAAGCAATTTTACTTCCGGGTCGTCGATTTGTCACTCGGCTTCTCATATTGTAGTATCACCACGTCAATGGGCCCTGGGGTTCAGCATGCATTGTATGATATTCAGCTGATGGCGCCGCTTATAGCGGATCAGAGCCTGACCCTATGACCAGCAGTCACATTGAACTTTCAATAGTAAGACGCGACCGTGTACATGAAAAGAGGTATGGATGTTCATTTGGCTACTTGATTACAGGAGAAGTTCACATCAAGGTTCTCCATTCTGTGGATACCGATTTATCCATCGCATTGCAATAGTTCCCATCTTTCTGTGCCGACAAGCCGCCTTGGTAAGGTTTCTGCACAAGAAGCTTGGAGAACGACGTTTTAATTTTCTATCGATGGTTCCCCGCTCCGGGGACGTTACAAATGCACCTTCAGCTTACCAATCGACAACGGACCAAGAACTTCTATCGACTATTCACAAGAGGAATTTCACTGCGGGCGGGTGTTCTCTCAACGAAGACACGCCGACCTACAGGCAAATCCCATAGAACGAAGCTACCGATTGAATTCGGACGAAAATGATGTTGGACACCATGCAGATGCGATTTCCATACATGTGCGGTCACGCTCTCTGCAAGGGTCGAATCTTACTCACAATCCCGCTATTTTGAACAACCGTGGTTTTATTTGTTCTGCTACAGCGAGAGAACTCACGTCCCTGTGATTTCAACATTTGTGGGATATTCGGCGTGTATGATACGTGTAAGGTGGGGAACCTCTCCCATACAGCTTGTACACAAACCCATTGGCCAACTTGGTGCGCAGTTCTGCTCGGTTTATACAATCCTTCATTCGTGACTACCGTCTCCGTCTTTTGCCATCTTTTGCTTTGGCAATTTGCTGTAGGCCCCGACCTTGGCTTATATACACGAATCGTCAAAGATAAATGTTATCATATCGTGTATTGTGATAGCCAGGACTGTCTTCTTGAACTTTGAACATTCGTGGCGTCAGATGGGGGCTGCACTAATAGACTGGGTAATACTGATCCGTCTCGCCTTCCCGGCTGGAGTCCATGTGACCGGCCTTGTGCTTGGCTCAAGACGTCACAGGACATTGCTGGGATTTGGCAGCAGTGGTGCGCATGCTGTCATGTCGTAGTCGGGTGCCTATATGAATTGTGGGATAATGCCTGATTATCACGTGGAGCGGTGGAAGCCGCAAGAAAGCTGTCTCGCCGATGCCGCTTACCTTTGTATGATAGACAGTTGTTTGTGATGGTATGTTGTTGACAAGGTGTAGGCGTCTTATTTCTGAATATTTCCTTAGAGCACTAAGAATTTACGTCGCGTTCCCCTTCTCTCTCTCTTTATTCTTCCTTCCGTATATAGTTGCAGTTGCCAAATCATCCTCACTATAGACGTAAGCCAGAGGTGGGAAACACCTCAGCTACTGTGTCGCAATACAAATACAACAGTTACATGCCAGCTGAGCTACCAGCAACGGATAGGCATCGTTCCGGTAAGCTACCAGCCGGCTACTAGGCAAAAAGAAAAATTATTATGTTTTATGCTACGAAATGAGATCGTAGATGGAGGGGGAGGCTAAAAGGGATGGGAAGGGACAAAGAAACTCACAGCAGGAACGCCACTGAGATCGGCTCCTAGACATGTCAGCAAGTGTATCTAGCCAAACGTGTTCATCGTCTTTTGGAACTCAACCAGGGGGCCCTGAGGCTCCAACCGAGGCCAGCTCCGAAGTGAACGCCTTCATTCCTCTCGACCAAGTCATCGCTTGGCCACCCCTCCTCTTCTTCCATCCACATCCCCGGTGAGCAAACAACGCACGTCGCGGGAGTCGGTGGGCTGGCATGCGCAACACGTGGCCCAGCCATCGGAGCCTGGTGCGTGAAATGACGGTGCTGAGATGTTCAGATCCTTTTTCTGTGCCGTAATCAAGGCGTCGAACTCGCTCGTTTCTCACGCAGTGTTCCCACCAAATATGAGCCAAACTACGAAGCCACCGATGGTCGAAGGTAACTATCCTCTTTATGTCCGCCGATCTCAGGGACCAGGTTTCACAACCGTACAGTAAGGTCGAACGTACTGCTGCATTGTACACTCTACCCTTCAGGGCGAGAGCAACGTCACGCTGCCGTCATAGGTGGTGAAGACTAGCAAAAGCACTTCAACCTTTTGCTATCCAGTTCGTGATCACGTCTTCGGACCCAAACGCAGTGATTCAGCTTCCCAGGTAGTTGAATTTTTGAACGACTTCTAGCTGATCCCCACCAAGGGTCAGCGCAGGAAGTGATCCCTGCCAATCTTGGAGAAACGTTTTGTACTTCGATGGTGCGAAGCAAAGCCCGAAGTGGCTGACAGCCAGTGCTAATCCGTCCAGCGCGGCTTGGCACGTCTGGGAGCTGTCACAGATGAGGGTAATGTCGTTTGCATACTCTAAGTCAAGATGTCGTTCTCCTGGGAGTAGCTCCACACCTTCCAAGTCATGTCCTATAAATGCAATTTCCATGACTTCGTCAATAGCGAAGTTGAAGAGGAAAGGTGACAATGGGTATCCTTGTCTCACACCGCTGGAGATATTGAATGGTGGCGACAGCTTGCCGTAAGCCCTCACTTTGTCCGCGCTACACGAACATAATGCTCGGGCACACGTTTTCTGAGTAGACAATTCCAAAGGGCACATCGATCGACTGAATCGGAGGCACCTTTGATGTTGAGGAACACGACTACGGTGGGCCGCCAATATTTGTGACGGTGCTCCAACAACTGTCGCAAGGTGGAGATGTGGTCGATGCAGCCACGACCCAGACGAAACCCGGCTTGCTCCTCACGAATCTGGCTTTCACGAGCGCCAGCCAGTCTGTGAGGGATTATGGAGGCAAGTAATTTGGAGGCGATCGGGATCAGACTGATTCCTCTATGGTTGCCGCATTCCGAACGCGAGCCTCCTTTGAAGATGGGAACAATAGTGGAGCATCAGTTTATACAACGTATGTACTGTTTATGATGAGGATGCTTTAGGTAATTGGGCACTAAATCCTGAACAAGTCGAATTAATCGAAAATCGCTTTGAGGAAATAAATACAAAACAAACAGGCACGTAGTGGGCATATCACCGGTCACTTGACTATTCTCTTCGTAGGGGTGACAAGAACATAGTTGGCGGCAGAAACGAGGTATTTGATGCATTCAGTTAATGATCAAGCGATTCTGTCCCCGTGACTGCATTCACAACGCAGTCTGAAGCTATCCCGCATACATTAAATGGCTAACTGTGTAGTATAACACGTTATGCTTACAACGTGGTAACTAGGCTATATGTGATGTATGTGTTGGAGTGAAAGAACAGTTGAACGATTTTGAAAGAGCAGTTGCTATCTCTATCGACACCTCATCTGTCACATAGCAGTGGCCAAGTCTGTCGTCTACTAAAATAAAGGAAACGAAACAGGTGATCGTTGTGACCGAGACAGAGCAATTGCAAAAATGGTATGTCACTCCGACTGGACTAGACCTGCTAAAAATTGAAAACTGAACAACAGGATACATCGACGAAGAATAAACGGACGTCGTACCTTTTACCCTTTACGTTTGCTACTTCGTATGATCTAAGATATTTGACATCCGTCTTCGTGATAACACACAGGTCCACGTTGCTTCCAGAACCGAGATCATTGAATATCCCCGCAACAATGGCGTCGCGTACTAACTGCATGGCGTCGGTTTGCTATTAGGGGAGAAAAACAGTAAAGGTGAAAACATGTATGGAGCTGAGACGAAACAGTTTGACTAGAAGCTACAGTACTGTCATAACAAATGATCATCCAGAACATCCAGTGATCCAACGTAGGAAATGAGTGCAATGAACTGGCGAACTGCAAGTAACTTAATCACTGCTGGAAAAGTAACGCGGGTACGAAATGAGGCAGCCAACTGGACAATCAGTAGCGCGGTCATGCTGTCATAAACACTCATTAAGTGGCTTAGTGACAAAACAACAGGCGAATATATGAGTAAAAAACGGACACGTTTATATGTCATCCTTCTCCATGGGGAACAGGGGATCGGTAGTATGAGCGATTAGAGTTATTACTTCACATGACATGGCTGAGATTTGAGGAAAAATGACGCCCATAAGTAGCAGCTGCTCAAGGAGCCGTTCGCTACTATCAACGTAAACTTCCTTCGCTACTTCGGATTACCTTTTGGCGTTAAGCGCCACACGCTTTCAGGTAATAGTACGAATTTGGAGGCGAAAGGCATTCTTTTAGATGTACCACAGAGAAACACACACGCCATGTGAACCTGATTTCCGAGTTCGCATGACTGAAGTGAATATTCGACGAGCTTCCACTAGTCACCACAGAGTAACAACACTCATGGCCCAACAGAAGGTAAGTGAACAAGACGCCTTGTTTCAGATGTCGCGTGCTGCAGGAGCGGAAAAAGAAAGAAAGCTTCAGTTCAGCACTGCCAGGCCATTCAACATCGTTTGGTCATTGCCGCTGTGCCACTGCTTGATAGCTACATTGACGACTGCGTAGCAGCTATCAAAAGGAACCCGGTGGCGCGGACAGATGTGATCGGTTACCAAGTAGCTGCCGTGACTGACGCAGTGACATCTGCCGTACGACCATTCATTTTAGAAAGAGTTCCCTAGCGTCGATCTGACACAATGGAACGGCTGTTCAGTAGATTACTGGGAACTGGAGCTCGGTAAAGTCTTTGTCCAACAAGATACACAAGTTGTATAACACCGAGTTTCAGGAAGTAGAGCCTTTTATAAACGGTCGCCGTCGGCTGAGGACACAGAGGTTCTATACGTGGGTGAGGAATAAACAAATATGAACGACGTGCACCAAGTCGTTCCACTAGTTCAGTGCGACAGTGGTGAGTTGTGGACAGATAAAAGACCCCTTCCGAAGAAAGGATTATTGTTTCCAAAACCACAGACCTGTCGCGAGTATTGGCTTTCGCGATATGTTGAAGGCATGACGATAATTTTTGTCAAAGAATACGAAAACCAAAAATCCCACCAAAACTGCAAGCGACGACTATTTTGCCTCGCTAGTATCTGCTCCACCATGCTGCAACTATTCCCAGAAAGCCCGACAGGCTCCAGGTTGTGCAACTAAGTTTCGAGGCTTATCTTTGGATGAGCATGTGTACCAGCGACCCGAACTTGCTGCTGAACTAACAAGCGCCCCCTCTGTAGTTACATAAATGTCCGATAGCCCTAGCAGTCGACGAAGAACAGACGGTTATGCCAGAGAGAAGCGGGGTGCGTTGCGCTTCTTGTGGTGGCCCGACCACGCTACGTCTAAGGAACCATTTAAATACTAACTGGTTGTCCACCCATTCGGCACGAGTTAGTCGCTGTTTTGTGCCACCTTCGCTATTCATGAGACAGCGATGGATTTCGGTCACTTGTACGATGGTCCAGAAACAGTTCTGAACAAATCATCCGTGGACGACTGTCTGATATCAATATGCAGCGTAGATCATGGAATCAACTTTTGTTCTGATCAATTTGGGACCGTTTCCCACGCGCTAGCTCGACGAAAGTACATGCTTGTTACAGTCGTTCTACGTCGTCTGGGAAAAAAACCGTGGTAAAATGTCGTCTGTGGTGGCCATAGTTTGCTCAACACAGTTACCGCAACGACCAGTATCTCATCCCGCATATCGCGGACATGGCCGCAAACGTGACAGCTAAGGTTTCCCATAGACTGGATCTCATTCGTGAATATTATCAAATTCCGGTATATGAAGCAGACCACTAAAACTGCCGAAAGATTTCAGCGTGGTGGTATAAACTACTCATGAGACGCGATTCCGAAAATAGACACTTGACTGCTCCACAAAACTCCTAACCCAACCAGAGGAAAAAGCAAAACGCCAATGACCTTGATAAAATAAGGTGTTAACCGCCGTCAACAAAACACTGTACAACTGCAGCAGACCTTGGCTGTATTTATAGGCCTCTTACTGACATTCGACTTCTAGCACAAGAGGATCAACCGCCAAGGTTAGTCGTTCCAAGTAGATTTGGTCTATCTTCAGGAAGTTACTAGTCACGTGCAGGCACTGGAATATTCCAGAACTTTCGAAATCGATAACAATCGATTAAGCACTGAAATCATGGATTTCCCGGGGAACTCTTATCTTTTCCCGGACACTTGGACTGTTAGAAATTCTGCTCATGTCATCCGATATTAGGAAGGTCGCAAACTAACCAACACCTCACCGCCCGAGTCTGTCGTGCTTTAGAGTTGGCTTATGTTTAACTGGACGGCATTTTGATCGCGAGCTCCCAATGTGAAATGCATTTGCACACAATCGGAAGAGCTCATCGCTTATCACAACACAGCGACGATCAATGGCGAAGTGTCCGAAGTTGTACCAGTCAATTCCCTAGACAACAACATACCATATGTAGACGTCGAGCTACTGCAGAACAAAATTAAAATGATCGATTATCCAGTGCCTTTATGGTTCAAACAGTTATCTTGTCATCCTTCTACCATTGCTCTACACTTAGCTGCACAACTCAAATTGCTGTCTCCAAACCCGAACTAGGAGATACTGTTGTAGCGCTTTGTCTGGCGCCCAATCCAACCGCAAAAACCACAAGCCAAGGCTCGGTAGACGGTGTGTATTCTATAAAAAGGACAGCTCTATTTAAAGGTCAACCATGATTCCGCTTATTCGATGTCCTGGCCTCAACCAATCTGAACACATTCTGCTTGACTGATTTTCCATATTTGGTCGTTTGTTCGCGTCAGTAGAACTTCACCCGAGTTTGTCAACCTGTGTTTGACCGAGGGTACGCGCAACAGGGTACAAACCGTAGCACATGATTGGCGCTCACATGAGTTCGTCAGCCACTCATGTGACCCCTGGATTTCATGGCTTATCGATCATTCGCGCGTCTGGCGTGAAGCCCGTCGGCACTGCCTAGTGCGGTACGGGGTGATTCGTTCCGTTTGTCCGTCTAATAGTAACTCAAACTATCACTACCAGAAAACCAAATAAGGACAAAACTGGTCGTAAAATGCAGTGTTGCAAAAGAGCATCTCCGGAACTCTACACCCCTTAAGTTTATCTCTCGCAACTCGCTTCCACCTCGTCTAACGATGAAGGGACTGCCTCTGAGCTCGCAGCTGGTGCTATCAACCTATGCAACTCGTCTTTCAAACCAAGGGCATCATATCCCATCCGTTCGTTTAACATTGGTACTCAGATCGCCGAACAGGCAGGATCAGCACTCTATTGATATATGATGTTTCCAAAATACGGGTACGGGATAACAGCGTCATGACAAACCTTGGAATCCATGGTTCAGAACCTATTGACAAGAAATAAAACCAATAAGCGACATCTTGACGAGAATGGACGTAGTGCGATGGTTTGTGTACTCCCGTGACCCAGTGAGCGACGCTGGATGCCACTTTCCAAGTGCATTTAGAGACACTTATGCCAGACAGGTCAATGGTTAAGGGTCAGACTAACGGGCTCACATTCCTCCCTGGAGATAAGGAGAGGTAGATGACCCACTTCCTTTAAAACCTAACCATGGGAGACAACAGGTTTACGGGATATAAGGTCACAGGTCGATTCGTGTAGAGCACGAACGCCACGCATTTTCTCTGACGGTGAGGGGGCACCTCACGGTGCTCAACGGCTTGCTACCGCCTGCTTCAAGCCAGGCAGCCCCTGGTCAAATTGGTGCAGACCCGAAAACTCACTTGCGGTTGGCCGTGGTTGCAGGTTCATAACATACTGCGGTAGAAAAACGCGAATGGCTCTAAATCTTCAAAGCTGTGTACAACACGACTCAAGAAGATCCCTATTGAGTCAAAGGCTTTTAATAGAGTCCCTCAAGCCTTGTGTCAGACTGTTGAGTCATAGGCTAGAGGCAGGACATCTCGAACAAAACTCCTCTTTCGGAATGGATAAATAATAATAAAAATATGCCAGTTGTAAAGCGTAACGGCGCTTCGCCGGCAGAGTATGCCGTGAGGACGCTTACTCTTACGGGGATTCGAACTCGCGCCACAAAATTATGAGAGAAGCTCGTTATCTCTAGGCTGCGGGTCAGTGAGCATAATCCGCTCTCTCAACCATGTCGGCAATACGCACTATCCTTCTTCGCATTGTTTTTCTCCCCCAGCAACTCTTTTCATTCCCGTCTATTGAGCGAGAAACTGCCGCTGACCTTCCAGCTGCAACTGTCTATACATGTAACTTGTCTCTCAAACCAAGGACCCATTTCCATACTGGTCAGTTTAACGTCCGCATTTTGGGTCAGATAGACCAACAGGCAGCACCAACATACACTCTTCACTCTCTTGATATGAATGTGTGCCGTCTCACCGGAAAAGCCATGCAATGTATCAGCGCTTTGACAAATCCGGCTCCCTGATTCTGAATCTTCTACCAAGAATTACTCTTCGTGGCTCTAGCGACACTGAGTCTGTGGCTTAACGCAATTTTATACACGTTAGGTGGAAACCCTCAGCCATCGTACCGAAACACAAGAAAGAATAAAAGAGACTCAAAATAGGTGTGCCAGCTGAGCCACTAGTAACGGATAGACATCGTTCCGGAGAGCTAGCTGTAGTGCCGCAAAAAGTTATGATATGCTTCAAGAATGAGATCGTGGTTGGAGAGGGTTATGCGGGAGGGGAGTCAAAGAAACTCATAACACAAAAGCCACTGAGGTCA